AAGAAGAAGAAGAAGAAGAAGAAGAAGAAGAAGAAGAAGAAGAAGAAAAAATAGAAATTCTCATTTGCCAAAGGCTACATTTTCTTGATAGGAATTGAAGACACCGTTGTTTGAAAAACATGGCAGAATATTTAGCAGTATTCTATATTTTGGAAAGCAGTCATATTTAGTTCTCTCAATGTTCCTATTTTTTTTTACTAGAATATGTACCAGAAAGGCCTTCAGAATTAAAACAAAAAACAAGAACTACCTCATTTTACAGGTTAGACAGGGGTGGGATTCAAATTTTTTAACAACCGGTTCTGTGGGTGTGGCTTAGTTTGTGGGCGTGGCTTGGTGGTCATGTGACTGATGGGCATGGCTTGGTGGTCATGTGACTGGCTGGGCGTGGCCAACTCAATATCACTCACATTGAGGCACGCATCTCCTCGCCTGGCCTCTCATGACTGTGGGGATGCTGCAACAGTCGTAAGTGTGAAAAATGGTCATAAGTCACTTTTTTCAGTGCCATTGTAACTTTAAATGGTCATTCCACACAAGCAAAGTACCAGCAAAGGAGGGAAAAAAACTCCAGAGAAGTTCCAGAGACAGGAAGTCTCGTCCTGCCAAGAACGTAATAAGGATTAATGGAGAGGCAGTTTCTGTAAGCAACACCAGAATGTTTCCTTCCTGCCTTCCTTACAGGATTAGGCCAGTAATTTCTTCTAACAACATTCTAACTGCTTAGAATGTTAACAACTGGTTCTAGCGAATAGGTGCGAACTGGTAGAATCCCACCCCTGAGGTTAGACCTTGTACTTTTTCATCTGAGATTTAAATTATAGTTCTGAATCCACAGCACAATTTTTATCATTGAAAATTCAGAATCAAATTATCAAATGACAAAGATAAAGAGTTTCAAACTGCCAGCAGCATGCTAAAAATTAAGGAAGATACACTTCAGATGATAATCTTAAACAAAATAAAAAGAGGTAATCACTACAATTTGAGATAGCATCTGACTCTTTCTTGTCAGATCCTACCTCAAATTGAAGCCATTGTTTGTTTTCATTTTACTCTCCTCTTTAAATAAACTATCGATAAGTGGTTTATTGCTTATCAGCAGGGGAGGCTGACAACCACAAGAAATTCCTCTGAATTAGCCTTCTCTTCTGGTTAGCAGTACAATAATATATAAATTGCCCCTTCCTAGAAGAAAGTATTTTTCTTCCTTTAAACTAAATGTTCTCCTCTAACATCATCAGGTATTTTGAGCCAATTGTTAAGGGAATATGAATTGGTAAGAATTTTTGAAGCATGCTGCCAAGTTGCCAGGACAGCTAAACATCTGTCACAGCTAAACATCTAAACATCTGTCACTCAATAAAACAGTTACACAACATGAAAAATAAAAGTATTATAAAAAAATAAAAGAATAAAAAATAAAAGAAAAATAAGTATTATTATACATTATGAAGCAGGACTGCAGGCTTTGATTAGTAGATCAAATAACCAAAGCTTAATAAGCTCTGGGCAACAAAATATGAAAGAGAGTCAGTCCTGCCATCTTTAGGATTACATGTCTGGGATTTTATTAACTTGGCAGGTTTTTTGATGGTAGACAAAGAGTCCTAGGTCTATCAATTCCCCCTTTGTAGACTCTGTGTATATGTGAGTCTTTATGCACTCAAACGTTTTCTATATAAACAAACCTAATAAAACCTATAATTGCTGTGAAGAATATCAAAAGCCACTTCTTTGTGTCTATTTTCTTTTCTATTTTTTCTACATTTTTCTTGTTCTTTTTGCTTAATCTTTTTTCTTCCTTATTTTATATTGGTTAGTTTGGGTTATTATCTTCTCTTTTAAATACACACGCATTACACACACTCTAAGCCAATAATTACAACCCGAGGCAACATCTTTGATTTTATACTGAACTCTTGTCAGGGAAGGCTGGTTTATAGAAAATAATTGTCCATCCAGAAAGGTTTGCCTAGATCAGGTTTCTACAAACTGAAAACTCAGATGAGTCATTTGAGAATCCATGCAGCACCTATTTCAGTAAAGTCCCAGAGAATATGGTCATCTCAAGATCAACCTATAGATTATTTTAACACTTGGTGAGCCAAGTTTAGTTTTAAAAAAGAAGAAACAATATATGTCTATGGAGATTCTCAGTCATGGTTGTCCCAAAGGAGCTTTTTTTCAAGAGGCAACTGGACTTTCTTGTTTTGTTTTGAGGGTGTTTCGCTTCTCATCCAAGAACCTTTGGGACAAGAAGCAATATATGAACAGCTTTATATTAAATCACCATATAAAGCTAAAGAAATTATTATGGCAACCTGCCACAATTCCTCTGAATTTTGATGCACCTGGCTGCAGAGGATGGGGATTCACAGAACAAAATATCTCAAATTGGGGAAGTTTTTACTATTACCTGCTTTCTTTTCTTTTTTTTCAACATCTTGGAACATTTCAGAAGTGGTAGCTTGAGGAGAACCAAAGACCATGATTTCAAAACTCATGCTTGAGTATTGCACCATAGAAGAATTAAATGTAGGAATATTACCTAGGCATATACAGGATGCGTTCTGCCACAACAAATCCCACCCTGAAGAAGAGGTTGCTAGCAGGTATGAAGGGGAAAATCAGGAACAACAGGCCAACTAGAATTTCTCTGTGTTCCAGTTTCTGCAACAAAATAATAATTAAAGATAAGCAAAGATCCAGTTCTGAGATTACAGTAGTCACGCTTATTCATATGCAAAAATCTGAACAAACCACTCGATGGGAGCAAAGATTTTCTGAATCTAGGGGTGGCTCAATTTTTGCATCACAGACATGGCAGCCTGAATACAGGCAGTCCTTGACTTATGACCAATATTGAGATCAGAATTTCCATTGCTAAGCAAAACCAGTGATAATTGTTTAAGTAACTCGCTCCCATTTATTTATTTTTTTGTAAACACAATGTTTGCAAATAATGTTCTGGTTAAATCTAGCCTCCCTTATTGTCTTTGCTTATCAGAAACCAGCTGAGAAGGCCGCAAATGGCAATCACATTACGCCTGGACACGGCAACTGAGGTAAATACATTCCGGTTGCCAAGTGCCCATATTTTTATAACCTGAATGTGAGGATGCTTCAATAGTCGTAAGTGTGAAAACTGGTCATAAGTCACTTTTTTCAGTGCTATTGTAACTTTGACTGGTCGCTAAATAAATAGTTGTAAATCAAGAACTACTTTATGCCTTATGTACATAGAAATTTGTTTCTTGTAATTACTTGTTTAAAATAACAATTTAAATATAGTTTTCTTTGGTTTGCTTTTATATAGTGCTGTATTTAGTATTCAGTAATCAGCACTCAGAT